TATGCTTTTAATTAATTTAATTAAAATTATAATTTTATATAATTTTATTTAATTATAGGGTGTCTCTGAACACTCGCAATCAGAACACACTACAAGATTAAGCGTTTTATTCCAAATCTATTAAGCCTAATATATGTATATATACTGGATGTTCTAAAAATATCGAAACTTCTCAATGTTTTGGAAATTAATCATTTTTGAAAGAAATGTTTCAGACAAAAGTTATAAAGTTTAAAAAAATCTATTTAGATTTAATGATATTACTTTGGGTGGTTTAGTTAGATCTAATGATATTACCTTGAGTGGCATCGACAAGGTCAGGCCAAAATTATATCAATTTTTTCAAATGACATACATTATTTTTTATTACAGAATCTAATAGTTGGTGTCAAGAACTTTTCAAAATACTATAAAGTTAATTTTTATTAAGTATTTTCCAAGATATGAAACTGGAAGGTTACAGTAGTGCGGGTATTATCCAGAGTGTTCGATTAATGGCTAAAATCATTTAAATGTTGTTTAGAATTATAATCACAGCGTTGTTAATTAATAAATCATTTTTTTTAATTAACATATTTTTAAAAATTTTATTACAAAATAATTTATTTACAATTATTTACAATAAGTTTTAAAAATGCTCTCCATTTTATTTGCATGCATAACGTGACTCCACCGATTATGTTATTTGTATTTCGTTGTAGCATCTCTTCATTTACAATTGCGAAGGCCGAATGTAATTGAGCCATCTTTTCTTCAGTTTCTACTGGATCTTTATAAATAAAATTTTTTTAATGGCTCCATAAAAAATAATCAAGCGGTGTTAGGTCGAGAAATCGCGTTAGCCAATTTATAGGTTCACTACGACCTATCCAGCTATCTAGATACATTTATAATTCTTTTCGAGCCCTTCGCTCGAAATAAGGTGCTCCATCGTGCTGAAAAGTATATTATTCCTCATTTCATGTAGAACGTCTGCTTCGTATAAAAGTTGAGGTAACTCGTATCGCAAAAATTGCAGATTCTATGCGACATGAGCAGGAAGAATAAATAGTCCCATCTGTGCCCAAAATATTACAAATTCATGTAAATAGACTATACTTTAACACATGTATGCATAATGAATAACAGTGGCTCTAGAAACAATGAACATTTTTGCGACTTTTGATTATAATCATTAAAAATATTAATGCTAATAAAGAGAAATAAAATCGATATAAAAATATTTTTTTACAAATTTATTGCCGATAATTTCAGCACACACATTTATTGAGTATCTGTACTAAAAACTCTTTGTTTTTGTTACATGCGGATTTTGTTGTGTCTAATAGTGATAGTTTTTGTAATTGAATATCCCATTCAGCATAAAACAACATTCGTCTGTTCACAAAAAATTCTTCTATTCTAGAAAGTCTGGGTCATCCTGGATTTGGCCAATAAATCAGCGCAAAAATCAAACCGAACTTCAAAATCTTCAACAAATAATTTTTATACTTGAGTATAATGCTACGAATGCTAGGAATCTCTTCGAAGTATGCGATAAATCGTGCTGCGAGAGATTCTTAATCGAGAACTTGCTCTACGAATTCTTTGTGTCATCGTGAAAATGTTGAAGAATTCGTTTTTCATCTTGTACTATGATCCGATTATTGCGTCCATTTACATGCATGGGCATTAGCTGTCCAAAATTGATAGCACGATCAATTAATCACCTTATGATATTACTATTCAGATATTGATTACAAGGTGCGTCACCAAAATCTGGACAAATTTCAATTTAAATTTTCCGCTATATGTGCCTGTTTCCGCCAGAGGTTGTTATTGGCGTCCGAGAAAGCCTAATGCTTCTAGTAAACAATCATATTCTCAAAATGGTTGCGATGTTGAAACCAAGTACGGAGTAATCGAAGAGCCACGATCATCAAAGACTTTCGCTGCGCTCAGCAACGGAAATAATTAGGTTCTTTGAATACCCGATATCAATCGTTTATGACGTTGTAGCAAAAATGTACGGCTTTAAAACAGTCCAACGAAAGTTTCAGTATGCCAGCGAAGAAGAGTTACTCGAAAGAACGCATCGCAAGGACTCTCGCAGTCGTTGAAAGGGCTCAAGCGCTGATTTCGGATGACCCAGGGCAATCGTTGCAAAAATTAGTATCGATTGTTAGTGTAAGCAACAATGCGTCGAATTGCCGAAGAGGACCCTCAATACAAATCGTACACATTAAAGATACGACAGATGCTCTTTGAGACTGCCAGGACAAGCTGAGTTGCTCGTCTCGGCTTCCATTTTGACCTCCCAACAGCCCAGATTTAAATTCCTTGGATTACTACGTATGGAGCGTAATTGAAAAGGTCACAAACAAGTCTTGGCATTCCAATGTGACGTCATTAAAGACCGCTATTGAGGCAGCATTTGTCGACATGGACAGCGCTACATTATAGCGTGCGTGCGAATACTTCAGACCAAGAATAGAGCCGTCATTCAAACTGGAGATAATTCAAAATGGGAGATATATCGAATAATTATTTGCAGGGATCCCCCAAGTGCCATGTAAAAGGATTTTTTATAATATTTAATTTTTCATTAAAAACATTTTTTTTAAAGAAATTCTTCGATTTGTCCAGATTGACACACCCTGTATTTGGATTTCGTTCTCAAAAAATACGTACTACTAATACAGCTCGTTCGTCTGCCGATCCGTAGCAAATTATCATCAGCCTTGGCTTAAGGAAGGGGGGAGGAGACTAAGAGGACACTGCAGTGTCCCATCTTTTTAAGGGATCCCTTAGTCCTAAGCCGGCAGTACACGATGCTTGTTTTCTTGCTAGATTTTTAGGGCTTCTTTCACCACCCCTAATTAATGTTAATCGATGATTAATTTGATCTACGATTGCCAACATGAGAAGAGGAAGAGAGAGGAGACATTCTGATATATTAAACTGTTGTTGACACTTCTGTGAGTTAATTGTCAATTAATTTAACCAGAAGTTGTTGAAAAAGGCTCTTATTAGAAAAAATTCCTGGATATAAAAAGACTCTTATTAGAATCTTGCCATTGTATTAACTGCGGTATTAATAATGCCAGCAACCGTATCGTAACCAATACGGTAGCAAATCTAATCTAGCTAATAATTCAGCAAGAAAATAAGCATCGTGTGCCGCCGGCTTTTAGCTTAAAATTATATTTTATTTTTAAAAGTAATTAATAAAAAAGTAAATAAGAATGCAAATAAATAATTAAAAATTTTAGTTTTCCATTCCTGGTGCTATAAAGCACAATACTCAGTAAAAAAAGATATACATTTCTTTGTTTTTTTTTATCTGGAAATGTACATTTTGAATGCATGCATTCGTTTATGCAGCAGCGTAACTATATTATTTTATCCTTTAATATTGTATGAATAATAAGAATAAATACAAATGCGCTAATTATTGCGTAAACAAATGCACCATGTATATACAAAACCAGAAGTCGAATTATTTCGAGGGACTTTTGGTTTTGTTTATTTATTTATTTATTTATTTCTAGAGTCATCACGCAAACAGGCGAGTTCCGATTGGACGAGAAGAACTGCAACACTGATGCACATTGAATGCAATTATATTGTTCCACACTAAGAGTATATCCACATAAACATATGCATAATGAAAATTTTCTAATCACATTCTTCTTATAAAGATGCGTATATAATATGATTGGATAATTTTCTTTATGCATACATGTATGCGGCTATACAAGTTTATATATATATATAATACTCTAAATTTGCACTATTACTGCACTAATGCAATTTTCATCAAAACCTAGCACGATTCTGGCACTGCACCAGTTTTCTCAGTGGAAAGCCCTATTGCATATCCGAGTTGATTCTTGTTGTCTTCTCATCCATCAAGGAAGTCCATTTATTGATATATATATCATTTATTGTTTGTGATAATTCTGAAAATATGTTAATGGTGCTTTCGAAACAATAAAAACATGATGACTTTAAAAATAAACTGACTAGCTTTTTTCCAAAAATAAAAACTGAAGTACTACTACAAATAAAGATGACGTTAAAATTCAGCAAATTTCGATGTTATCACAGTCAGTACATTAGTATGATAAACTCAATATTAAAGACACTGTCATTTGTAATGAACACTCAAGTGATTCAAGTGATAGTCGTGACATGAATAATCAGGATTTAATAATCGAAAATGTTGATCTGGTGATAGATATAGATATGTATAGATATTTATGGATACTATAATGTGTGGAGTTGAAATACAGAATTTTATTTACAGCTTTTAAAATATAAAAGTTACATAAGTTTTCAATTTGTAGTTTTAGAATCTTCTGATTGTGATGATAAATGAAATATTATGTCATTGTAGTCTCCCCCTCCCTCTCTCGTCCTTCTCTCCCTCTTCTTCTCTCCCTCTCTTTATTCTCTTTTTGTATTTTTTGTACATTATTTGTACATTTTCAGAACCTGTAAATAAAGATTCTGTTTTGTGACCCACAGAAATGCATGAGGATATAAGGTAAAAATATTTGATTAAAGGCTATGAATATTTTCAGAAAAAAGATAACAGTTTTCGTGTTTCTATTAAGCAGTATAAAAATCAAAACAGATTTTTATCTTCAAAAGTTTTTTCATGAACTTTAGCTAATGATGAAAAACGCATGCGAAAATGGTTGATATATTCAAAGTCTGCTGGGAATGTTTTTTGTTACGTCTGCAAGCTTTTTAGTGAAAATAATACAAACATATTTGTAAATAGTAGATTTAGCAATTGGAAGAAAGCAGAAAAAAAATTAGTGGACATGAAAATTCTGCAGTATACAAAAAATATATACTAATTTGGCTCACAAACTTATATAAAAAATCATATATTAATAATGATATGGCAAAACAACAAGTTGAAATTAAATATTGACTCGAAGCTTTAAAACGTATTATCAAAATAATTCGTTTTCTTTCTGCGGTCTTGCGTTTCGGGGTGAGTATGAAGTGATTGCTTCTTCAAATAATAGGAATTATCTGAGTATTTATCTGGAAACTAATATTTAAATTTGATCTATTCTTAAAAAAACACTCTGACTTATGCAAATCAAAGTCGCGGGCATATCTCTTATTTGTCAAAAAATATTTGTGAAGAATTCATCCTCATGATGGTCAACAAAATTAAAAATGAAATTGAATTAGTCAAATTAAGAGAGTAAAATATTTTGGTTTTATTTCACACTAGATATAATCCACATTGATTAATTGCCTATTGTATTCCATTTGTGCTGTTTGGTTATATGCATGAACGTTTTCTTTTTACTTTTTACTTAGTAAAAGCCATACTTCATTGAATGATGCAATATTACAAGTTCTTTGTAATAAAGAAATTAACATTGCTTACTGTCAAATACAAACTTACGATAATGCCAGTAACATGTCTGGAAAATATTCAGGATTATAGGCACGAATTAAAGAAGTTATTCCTCTTGCGTATATATTATGTTCCTTGTGTAGGACATTCACTAAATTTAGTTGAAGAGTACAGCGTAAATAAATGTATCGATTTTGTGAATTTTTTCGCACGACTTTATGCTTTCTTCTCTGTTTCTATGCATCGTTGGAGTATATTACTAAAACACATGAGAACAACATTAAAAAGTTTATCTTCTACAAGATGGTCATGTCGTGCCATTACTGCATTAGCAAATTATCTAGAATTATATATAATTCATTCATCAATTATATGAAATTGCGCATAATGAAGGTAAAAAGTCCGAAACTCGTCACAAAGCAGCGTCCTTAAAAAACAAATTAACAAAACTGGAAACTGCATTTATAGTTAGATAGATAGTTTTTTGGCATAGAATTCTTCAATGGTTCAATACAACTAACAAATTTTTGCAAAAGTTGAATTCGACTTAATTACGGCTAATGATATGTTACATTCGCTAGTTGATTTTATTAGTGACTTACGAAATGATTTTATAGCAATAGAAAACGATTGTAAAAATTTGGTATCAGTACTCTTTCGACCAATACATTCTGATACACAGAAATGAAAAATTACGAGGAAATATGCAGATAACGCAATAGAGATTCAAAATTTAAGGAGATACAATCGAAAAATCAAAATGCTTCGATCTATCTAAAAATTACACAGAATATTATTTAAAATGAAACTAATACTACATTAAAATTTTAAACTAATTGACCGTATAAGTTTTAAAAAAGAAAGAACTAAAGTTAGAGCTTTATGTATGATGCATTGAATGATTGATATATTACATAATTACTTACTTTTAAAATGCTTCAACCCACATAAAAAAACATATAAACATATATTATAGTTAGAAACCTCTTTTTACATCCTTGCAAGAATTTTAACTTTATTCACTGTGTAACTTTATTTGTGTACAAGCAAAAAGCTAATGAAAGCATGCCTATTTGAGCATCTAAAGAAATATACGCGGAAAACTTGGCAACACTGACTTTCGACATTACGTTACTTTGCGGCTTGCTTCATCTTGTGATACATGTGTGATGGTTGAATGTACTTGCTTAAAACCTAACGTTATGTTTTTAACTGTAAAATACGTATATGAAAATAATATTTTAACCTTAACTGTCAATTACTAGTGGCACTTGTCAATTGCTAGTGTGCAACTCGAATAGGAATGCCAACCTCATTTTCAGAATGCAACGTTACCAAGTTATCGATAATCATTGAACATAAAACATTAAATACAAGATTAAGGCTATAGGAATCTGCGCTGTACTTCGTGCGCTTACAATTGATAAAAATATATAAATATAAAAGATATTATTGTATGTCACATAATAAAATTAATATATTGTCATCTCTATAAACTAAAAGCGTTTTCTCTTGAGATACACTGAGTGTAACCTCGCACTACACCAGTTGCGTGTAAGTGCTGCATCAGTGTTGCACTACACAAGTATACATACACATGGTGTGCTACTTCATGCTATCGTGTTTAATTCCGGTTGACTTCCTTTTTCAAATTTTTAATGTCATACTAGCTCTACACCATCTCTTTGAGATCGTGTAGCAAAACCTCACTTCGCATAAAATTCGCACTGTAGCCACAAAAACACGTTACACTGAATGAGTTCGCCTACCACAGTCAAGGAAATGCTACACTGCTGAGTATTGCACTGATGAGCGATAGTGCAGCCAAGAGAAAATGCTATAAGAACGAAACGAATAACACGTATGTTTTGACTAACTTTTGGCTTTCTTCAGCGTTACAAAAATTATTCTAAAATCGCTTTTGAGAATGATGACCAACAATCTTAAATGTTTACTTACAAAATGGAAAAACTCTAATTTTACCTCGGATATAATTTATAAGACTCTGAATTGCAGTGACGGTACTTAAGGTATATGGTCTAAGATCCATAAGACAAGCTGCTCCCTAAGAATCATCGATTGGCAATCTTTTTTTATTCTTTAGCTACCTTTTTACATAAAATAATTGTTAAAAGTCCCAGTGGCATATAACCATATTAAAAATTAATTATTTCGATCTAGTCAAGAAATTCAATGGCAAACGACTTGATAAAAAATTTGATTTCACTGGATGTGAATTCTTTATTCATAAACGTGCCTACGGATTTAGTTGTAAAAAATTTTGAATAGGTGGGATTTTAATAAACTCAAATAATTGTTTGATTCCGAGAAATGAATTCTTGGGTGCAATCCGACTTGTGTTAGACTCGACGTACTTCATGTTCAACGATCAGTATTATAAGCAAAATTTTGAAACGCCTATGGAATCATCCCTGTCGCTTCTAGTTGTTGATCTCTGCAGGATCTTGAGAGAGAAGATGAATATGTTTGATTTTAATATCTCACTACATTGACAACTTGGTTATTGTCATACCCTCCTCAAAAACCGAAGAAGTATTGACTAAATTTAATTCATTTCATCCATGAATTCAATTTACGATGGAAATTGATTCTAAAAAATCAATTTGTTAGATACAACTATTATAGTCGATGATTATATTAAGTTGACCATATACCATAAACAAACGTTCTCTGATAAATATATATAAGTATAATTTTAACTCTCAGTACCCTCTTTCACAAAAAAGAGGCTTGATTATTGGTCTAGTTGACAGCAGACTCTTTTTACTCTTGTAATTTCGTAAAAAAAATATTGACATAATTAAAATTTTACTGGACAATGATTATCCTCTACATTTAATATTCAATACGATTTTCAAAAGAATAAAACAACTGTCAATAAAAAATCAATTGCTCAGACAAATAATTCTACAAAAAAAAAATTAAAAAAAGAAAAATGTTATGATTCACGATCCCATTTATAGAATCAGTTTCGGAAAAATTTAGAAATGTAATTAACAGCACCGTCTCTCGAAATTGTCTTTTTAGTCTGAACAAATTGTCTTGTTTTATTAAAGTACAGAAAAATCCTCTTTCCATTTATTCTCATAAAGATGTAGTATATAAAATTTCTTGCAATAATTGACGCTATTTATGTTGGACTGGCAGACAGTTACAGACCAGCAGATTTATTCTGTAACTTTTAACGCAATTTTCGTTATCATTATAACGCCGTTGTGCAGCTTTTTTATCATGGTGAAAGAGCTGCGTAGCAGCGTTATAATAATGAAATTTGCGTTAAGAGTTACAGAATAGACTTGTAGAATTTTTGAACATAGGAATCACAAAAAGAAATACTACCACTAACTTTGTCATAACGAATCACCGATTACAATTTGGACATGATTTTAAGGGACGAGGTTGAAATTTTGTAGAGATGAACTATAAGAAGCTTTTAATTTTTGAAATGGTGAATATCAAACGAAAAAAAGGACATCAATTTGAACACAGACACAGAATTACTTAATCAAGCGTATCACTGTTATTTCGATAATATGTTTATGTTTTTGACATTGTATATACTCGATCATATTAGATCATCGTTTAGTTCAAATATAGCTGCAAGACTTGGAGCCTCAGTTCCTGTTGCGTATTATAATTTCGTCATGTTGCATTGGAGGAATATAGTTCATGTAGATTTAAATGACTTCATCCGTCGACACTTTCCAGGTTAATTGTTACGATTTTGTTTCATCCCGAATAAACTTAACGCAGTAAATTAATTCTATAGACCATCCAGCTTGCGAACAGATTTGGGATGAATTCTCTCCACAATTGTGTGAGGAAGTGAGCGAACAGTCATGTTATTTCATCATCCAAGACTAAGATAATTTTTGTAACGCTGAAGAAGGCTAGAAGTTAATCGAAACGTGTTATTCGTCTCATTCTTAGTTTATAGAGATGACAATATATTAATTTTATTATGTGATTTAATATTTTTTATATTTATATATTTTTATCAATTATAAGCGAAGTACGGCATAGATTCCTATGGCCTTGATTTTATATATTTATTGTATGTTGAAAGAATCTTAATTTTGATATTTTTGTGATAAAACATAATTAAATTACTTGCATTTTCTAATAATAGAATGTTAATATTATGATTCATAATTAAAAATTAACAATTAATGTTATCATTTAATTTTAATAAATCATAAATTAGCCTTTCTTTTTATTAAAAGATTTTCATATATTAAATTGGTATTATCAATGTAGAACAATAGCGTACCGTCCTCACCACCTACCCCGCAAATGATCAATCGTACATCCTTAAGTGGTCGCGAAAAATTCTGTATTGAATCATCTAATATAATCGTTGATAAACTTCGAATTGAATTAGAAAAACAAAGTTCACTGTTACATAACAGAGTTATTTGGCTTTCTAACTAAATTAACGATCATCGAAATCGATAAAATGCGAAAGTACTGTAATCGTCTAGTTAGCATTTATTGTGATGATTTAGAAAATAGTCTAGATTGGAACAATTTATTCCGTTTATAAAAACTAGCTTTAACAATGTTGCATTATTTCCACTAGACTTTCTAAAATGGATGGTGCGTAAACTTAATGAAGTATTTCCAAATGTATATGTAGCATTTATGGTATATGTATATATGTGTATGCGTGTGTATGAATGTATATACATATCCATATAGCTAATCCATATAGCCAATCTGAGCATATATATTATATATATTACAAATATGTGTAGCATATAGAAATTTAGCAACAATTCAAAAACTGTTATATATTTTTCATATATTGTTATAATTGTATAAAAAAATGAGTAACATTATTACATTATGATGATAAGATATATACTCTATTCTTGTTGCATTTTTGTCAGTTATAAACTGGCAATTGTAATAATGGCAAAAATCACTAATAAAGAGAATATATGAATATATGAAGAGAATATATATCCAGTAAAAAATCGATATTCAATCAATGTCGATTCGACATCGAAATCATCAAATTCAAATCGTCGAATAAACGTCAATTCGATATCGATTTCAATGTTATTTCTCACTGGGCAGTAAGAAGAAATTTTTGCTTTATAATCATGATTTAATATATTGCTGCATTTTGCTGTTCAGATGTATACATATGATAGCAAAATGTTAGCAATATATCAACTTGCCAATAGTGCCACTATACTATTTGCCAATAGTATATTTGATCATGATTGTGAAGCAAATATATGTATATATTTGCACACATGTGCACGCACGCACGCACGCACACATATTAAAGACATATGTATGTCTTCAATATGTACTTTATTCCCTCGAATTTATATGTATATATTATATTAAAAACTTATATACAACATATAAATAATTGCAATGGATACGCGCTTACGAAAAATTTGATTTAGAAGTATTATAATAGATACAGAATATGTTCATCGCAACTATCGAGTGTGTCGGTTGCATTTTGATGAAAAGTGATACAAAATTGATAAAACTAGAGTTTGTCTTCATCTAGATGCTGTACCAATGAATTTTTTTGAAAAAAGTAAATAATGAACTTTTTGTAATATACATTATTTTGTATTCCAAATGTCTAGATTTTAGAAAATAGTAATCAATCGATAATGTATAAAACAATACTATTGCTACTATAATTTTTATAGTAATACACCTGTGACAACACCAGAAAAAGATGTTGGAAATATAACAAGATTGTCATCAAGAGAAAACAAGCAATTCTTTAATTTCTATGTCTTACTATAGTTTTTCTTTAACAATGACATATTTTGCTCTTACAGACTACTTCAGTTTGAGCGTTCACACACTGTAAGCTGTATTCCTTTCTTATTGCTCATTTATATACATATTTATATATATAAAAAAATGCAATTATTGTGCGTGAATGCCTAAAACGCAACT